GGATCCATTTTCTGCCGGATCGGGTATCGGTCAGACAAGACCGATCCAAATCCGATATTGTGCGTATACTATTCTGTGTTATTGTTAAGCCCCTCAAAAGGCACAAAAACATTATAAAACACCATAAAGTTTTCGTGCACTATATTTTAAGTGTACTGAAGCCGTTCCATAGTTTAATGTGAAGTATAGATGAATATTTAAATCAAGTTCACGTAAACATTTCTCCCTGCTGGGTCTGTCGGTCATCCTCCATTTAGCATTCAAACTGCGTGTTGCGTTTGGTTACCACAGTCAAAAGGATGAAACTCTCTTCAAGAGCGCACAATAACTGAGATTTAAAACTGTTAAAAGAAAAGGCTCAATAAATGTAATTGTTTGCGGAGTTCTGCACGCTGTGACTTAGGGCTGTCAAAAAAAAAAATTCGAATTTCGAATATTCATAGAATTTAAAATAAAAATCCACATTCGAATGCAAAAACATTGCATTTGACTTTTAGGTGTGTGTTAAGGAGGCAGCCTTATCAGCTGCGCACGAGATGCGATGACGCTGTAGCTGTCATTGCATTAGAATGTTTTTGTTAGCCTGTCCAGTTGAAGCCACTAGATGCGGCGCTGCTGCGTTGTTCATTCAAAATATTGCGGAAAAAGAGAACATCAATGCGGAGAAGATGTTGTTTGCATCAAAACTGAAACCAAGCCATTCACACAGAATGCATATTTATCACATTTTCTAGACGGACATCTATCAGCGTTGCACTCGCGTCTCGCACAAGAGAGCCGCATGTTTAGAAAGCCAGCAAGTTCAACTTTGAAAAAACATGTCTCGAATTTATGGCGGTTTTTCCCCATCCCACTGCATCTCATGTTTTTAAATGGAAAAAGTACTCTTTATGATTGGTTTTTGGTCCTTTGTATTAAACTATGCATACATGATGCTGTTTTGTTTCTAATTGTTTAAGCAACTTAATTAATTATATATGGTTTATAAACATTAATTTAAACATGATGCACTTTTTTCAAAGATAGTCTGTTATTTTATTGCTTTGAAGAAACGTGCATAATTAATATTTTGCTCGATGCGCCCTCTTGTGGCCTCAGGAGAGAAGCCAAAAGCTTTTTCCCCCAAACTGAAATTATGCCTTTTAAATTCGAATATAATTTGAATATTGATAATATATAAGTACAAAATTCGAATTTAGTTTTTCAGCAATTTTGACAGCCCTAACGATCAATTAATCGATTAATCGTTAACCTTAATACTGCAAAATGCATTAATTGCAGTGGCATATAGTCCCCGGCATGACAGCATGTGCAAAAGCCACTCAAAACGCAGGCTTCCTCGCCCGAATTAAAG